AAACCCTAAACCCTTCTTCCAATACAACACAGCGGTCAGCGGGGGGCGCCGGGGGGATTGCGGGGGCTAGCGCGTCGGTACTTACTCTAAGATCCAAAACACTACGTTTGCGAAATATATTCACTCTCTAGTATAAGCCCGACCGAAGAAACCCTATCCCCTCCCTCTGATAGTAAATAATAGTAAATCCGAAATCATTATATCCCTTCGTAGAGAAGGGCTAATAATTGTAGACTAAAACTACTAGCGACTAAGGTGGTAGCGCGAGTAACCCTAAACGGTTCGAGTATAAAAACCCTAACGCCCACCCTAATACGATACGCCACTTAGTTAGAATAGCTTAATGCCTATCTAGCGCCAAAACGAGCGAGCCCTAATACCCTATACACTTCAGAAACCCCTAGCTTGGCCCAAAAACCCTCTGGATAAATGTAACCCAAAATCTCTATCGGAAAGAGAGCAACCTTATATCACGTAATTACTCCCTCCACGACTAAACCCTACCTTCGTCTAGGATCCATTTATCTAATACCTATCCGCGGCAATAGTGCTACCGCTTAGCCTTCTAATATACCCTAGTGTGCCCGTTAGCGGCCCTTACGTAGTGTGGAGATATATCGCTTAACTCTTAACTCGTATGCGGATATTATAGCGAAGATGATCCGTGTCGCCTAGCGTTTCGTTCTCTAGGATATATTGCTATTAGGGTCTGATGCTCGGGAGACCGATGATGCATTTGACTAGTAGCTCGCCCTTAAATATACGTCGGGGGGAGAAGGAGCGAGCCAAGCAACTATAACCATATATAGTATAAAAAGTGCCTACCAGTGCGGGAACGTTCTTCGTTTAGATATAGATATAGACTTTCCGCACGACCTTGTATTTACCCCGAACCTAGAGAAAGAAACCTATAAAAATCTTTTATTTCCCTCGATGCTAACAGATATATATCTCCTTGCCGACCTATCAAATTTATATCGGCACCTTTCCCATCTACCATAGGACCGAATCGCCCACAACGATCGCGTTAGATGCACGTTCACCAAACACCGACTGTTCCAACCCTAGCCATAATATATACGTCGCCTCGTCGCCTATAACATAACCACCGCCTAGTCCGCCGAGAAATTCCCGGACCTACCCTTTCTTCTAGAAGATAGCCCAACAGAGCGGCATCACAAGGTCCCTAAACTAGCACCTATCCGGTCCCTTTAGATCACACACCACTTACGAATTAAAGCATCGGTAGCAACTACTATACGGCTCGAACCATCCCCCCCGCGCTTGACCCTAGGACTGCGCTTTTTTCTTCGCATCGAAGTAGTTATACCGCTATAGGTGCGGGCAATTCGCTAGTCGATGGCGCGCGTGCAAAGCCTGCCTAGATGCTAGACGAGGGAGATGGTAGCAGATCATATATATCCCGCGCCACTCCTCTAGGGACGCGATATAATCCGCTAACCCACGCGCCCGCCTCTATATCTAAGATCGAAGTAGCTCGCCCCTAGCCCATAAATCGCTTGAGTCGTCGGATTCAACCTCCGCTACATCTGGCCCTCGAACCGAGGCATCCGCGATATCAGAAGGTTCCGGTAAACGGACCGTACCGGAATTCTAGTAGCAGTCACATAAAAGCGCTGTGGGGGTGCAGGGACTGCCGCGCTCGTCTAGGAAGGTAGATAGCTCAAACACCCGACAATTAGTAGCACTGATATATCTCTATATAGCGGCTTCCGCGGCACTTAGCGGTCGTCCACTGCCGTCGGTGAGAGCACTCTTCCATTAACGAGGTACTAGAATGATCGATCGCCCCCTGGCCCCATCTCGTCTAAGCCGCCCGACCTCCTATGTAAAGCTGATTAAGTCCCAGGGGACCCCAATATAAACCACCCACCGAACCGCCGCGTAATCGATCCCCATGCCAAACGCTGATGTCGCCACAATATACGGCGGCTCGCCATCCCACTAGCGTTGGAGGACCTAGGCCTTCTCCTCAACACTACTAGACTGCGAGTGGTAGACCGGCGCATCAAGGGCCCGCCTAACCTTATCCGCGACGCCTCTTATGTAGCAGTAGATAATAGCACGCCTAGCACGATCAAGGCTTGCAATCGCTTCGCGGATTCCAGGAAGTGCAAAGTCCCGGATAAGATCAGAATTAGGGGGGGCAGTGGCTAACCCAAAAGGTGATATCCCGACGCGTTGTAGGGCTACGGATCATCCGCGCACCACGTAGCAACATCGCCTATTCGAACCCAAACACCATCGACGGCGGTAGGGTGCCTATCAGGAAAACCATCTAACAAGCCAAATCCCGCAACAGCGGGAGTAAGGCCATCGCGGGCCGGTAGAACACCGCGGTCACCGCGAGATGACACTCGTCGAACACAACCTAGTCGAGTTTATTCGCAACGTAAAGGCGATTCAGAAACTGCCGGAACCGAGGCCGCACTGCCTATTCAACCCCGACGATAATAAGTGGGCAGGAGTGTAAATGATCCGGGTTCGACTGCGCGTCCTAGATATAGGCATCAACCCCGGCCTCTACGCATCGGCGTTGTATCTCGGCCTTGAGCACCACCAATGGAAGGATTAGCACCGTGGTGCCAGCCCCGGGCAGCTAACAAGGGAGAAGGTATAATAGACTCTTACCCTCACTAGTTCGTAGGATAGCCAGGACTTAGCCCGCGCCCGCCAAGATATGTTCCATCGCTTGTTGCTGCCCGCGGGACCGATACTGAGCGTGTACGCCGTACATCCGCTAGAGAACCTTATACGCCTGGTCCATTCGCTATCGCCGCCGGGTCCTAGCGGGGGCCTCGCGTTGGGTAATACGCCGTGCGATAGGGGTCTCGTCATCATCGCGCCGTCGCTTAAATAGGGTAGCGGACGATCGGGTTTCCGCGCTGCCGACTACGCTTCGACTACTAGGGGTCCTACTGGAAGTGCTGCGCGGGCTACCACGCAGGGAATGATCTCCTTCCTCCCATTCCTATGGCGTGGCCGGCTTAGCACGCTTATATAGCATGGCGAGGGCTGGTTGAAACTGGAGAGGATTACGCACGAACTAATGCTAGAGCCGACTAATATATCGAAACTCCTGGAGCCCGGCATCAGTTAACCCACCACGGAAGTTCACCGTCCCTCTATACACCCGATTACCAGTAGATAGGGTGTGGCTTGCCTGCTAGTGTAGTGCGTCCGACATACTCCCTCGCGCGGGATCCGTCTCCTCGCCATCGTCCCTCTCTTCAATAAGGAGATTGGCTTCGACAGTAGCAAATTTCCGTCGGGCGATACCCACCGTGATCTAGCGCCAGGCCTAGATGTGGATATGCTTCCTAAGAACCAGCTTGCCGGCATTCACTATAATCCGAGTCATGGTATCCACAGCCTATGGATCAGGGCTATAGGACCAGAGGTAATTGGATGCGGCGCTGGGCTGCTGCGTCTCGTGCTAGAGAAAATCGCGGAATGGTTAGATCATAGCGAGGTACTGGGTCACGAGCTGTACAACCTTAGGGAGTAGGAAGCGAACCAGCCATCGAGACGCATTATTCTGGTTCCGGGACTTATGGTAGCTAAGGATAAATAGCATTTGCCTATCGTGGAGAAATAAGTCTCGAGTGGTTAAAGTCGTGTTCCTCCACCGGAGCCCAATGAACTCCGTGCGACGCCCCTACTAACCCAACCTAATAAAGAAGGGGACGAGGAGTGCTCGAAGGAAACGCTGCACCCCATCCTTATACTGCTGCGCGGCATCCGCGGACACCACCCAATGCCCCTCGGCGGTCCGCGACTAGAACGTGCGGAAGAGAACGGGGGTCCTACCCACCCAGGAGATCAACCAGTCCTGTAACGGGGCTAGGTGGCATACGTTCCGCGAATCCGTCAGGAATGACTGGCCGGGCGCGGTGGCATCCCAGTTGTCGACGAGGAGCCGTAGATCTAGTATGGGGATCTCAGACGTAGGGCTAGAACGGCCATTGAGGCATAGCTCTTCGTCAAAAATTCGCCGAGCCTCAGAAATCTTCTGGAAGATAATTTGATGTAAGTCGGATAGATGAAAGATGACGTCCGACCACACCAGCGTCTCGCCGTCCGCATACCAGCGAATCTATACCAGTGGAACCTCGGTCTGGCTGATGCTAAACCCTAGTAGCCGATTCTCGAGCAATTCAGCCACGGGGCCCTCGGTGTCATTTAATAACCACTCGTTCCGGATATCCACGATCGTCGCACCAATTTCGGCCTCTCGGCCACCCGTGGTCTCCGCCAATATATACGCAAGGACCACCATTTGACAGTCGTAGATTAACTAGGATAGAATAGAGGTATAATTCCCGACCATTAGCCATGTACCTTGGGTGGGACTCCAGTACCGCACGGCAGCGTATGAAACAAGGACGGAATCAAACTTGCGACGGGGAACGGAGTATTGAATAATAGTAAGGCTAAACTCTAGGACTGCCCGGTCGAGTCGGTCGCGGAGAGTCGCTTTATATATGCCTTCTCGGTCCGGGTCGACAAGGTTGATAAGCTCGCTCGTGACCTGAGTTACCTCAAGCTATGCCTCACGCTGTCGGTCGCTCGGTTAGAATAGGGTATCTCGGAGCTAGCCCTGCTCGACCACTCGGTCCTAGTAGTAGATCAGTCGCTACTAGGTATCGATATATCTCCGGCGGGACTGCTCGTTTTATAGGTCCGAGATAGGGTCCTAAGAGGCTTCTCCCCGGGTAAAGGTATTAAGGAGCCGTGCGTTTCGGCGACTGAGATGCTAGGTTTCTAGGTCCTGGTCATACACAAGCACGGTCATAGCATTCTCGAGGACTCGTCCGACACTCTTATAGATCATAAAGAGTGATTCTTTCTGCTCCTGCTTAGGCAGTCGGTAGCTAAGACCGAGTTCGCTTAGCTTAAGTCCCTAGAGATAGATATAGATCCCAGTCCACTTCATCCACGGTGTGACCTCAGAGACATATCGTGTAGCCTGGACACAATCTCGGAGCGGCTGAGACTGCCGCTGTCGGTATCGACGCATAATATCGTCCCATGATTGATTAGAAATAGGGCAGGAAGAAGATCGCTCATAGGTAGAGGGTGGTGCATTGGTGGGTGCATTGGCGTAGAGATATATATATTGTGGGGTAGCGGTCCGGTGGACCCAGTCTGTCAGAACAACAGCGAAGTAGCGCTGGGCTTGCGACTGGCAAAACAATATCTAAACGTAGGCCTGATGCTATGGCATCGCGCCCTGCTGCGAAACTTGCCACTAGTGCCGCTGATTGTAGTGTTGTCGTATCCGATCAGTGCTAGTCGTGCGGAAGGCACATTGTGCAAAATGGCAGAGATACCCCAATACGGTCGGTAGCCTATGAATCTCCTCCGTGCCATCGGGTGGCTATACCACATCAATTTTCGTAGCGGCCACATCTTGTAATAGAGCGCTGGATTCAATTCTCCTACGCTGCCCACTTGGTGTTCGATGCTTCTCAAGTAAATGCCGGGCCAGATTCTGGCGAATGTAGCAGTTGCCGTGGGTAGTGTAAAGGGCCACCCGCCATTCGCGTAGGATCTTAACATATGGTGGAAAGATGTCAGTTTCTCCCCCAACCATAGACTGTGGTGTACTAAATCTAGATTGGGGCATATTTCACGGATTAAAGAATAAGATAATATCAAAAAAATAATAAAAATATATTATTAATATCGCTAACAGTAAGTAGTGAATACCAGCGGGTTTGCCCCTGAATACCAGCGGGCGCTAGTACCATTCCGGTTTAGGGCCGGGTACATTTTGTTAGTAAAGTGGGTGAACACCAGCGGAGTTCAACGTAGACTATATACAGGGGTAGATAATTAGACGAAAAGAAGATAGACAGGTAATTAATGGTAAATTCTGATTGTCTTTTCTACTCGTTCTCAGGGGGATATTTATATCCTACCCCTGAGAACTGTTTTCTGAAGAAATGCATACAAAAATGTTCTCCTACACCGCTGCCCGGTGTCCATAGGAAACCCCCTGAAAAGAAGCAAAGAAGGCGATATAGATGAGGAACCTGCATATACGGGCGCCCATTTCCAATAACCTCATGGGCCTAGCTGACCAATCAGCAGCCATCGGGGCAGAGAGATGCCGACCGATATTGGCGCCTTAGGATGAGGGCTCCAATTTCCAACAGAGACAAAGGCTGATGTGACGGTAGCCCGAATCGGGATATATTAGTGTGACGGTAGATGATATATCTTGGCGGAGCGGAAGACTTGACGCCGATTCCTCAAAATTGGGCAAACTTTGATCTACCACACAACCATCAAAAATAGTTAAATACAGACACAAGCTATATTATTTCAATGCTAAAAGAGTCCAGTTTCATATGGGATATTTTTTACTGTAAAACTTTAGAAGTTGGTTTGTTGGAATTGGATCAGGTTGACCTTATAGAACCAGACGTTGCATATAGTGACATGCATTACTTGCTTACTGTGCCGACAGACTACTTATGAACCTGCTTATCATAATACTCAGCTTGTCAGCCATATCTTTCTCAACTTAACGCTTTGTAACACATTATGCGGAAAAACTCCCAAATCGACTAGTGTATCTTGGCCTAGGGACCGGAAAGTTAATCGAGAAGTGTAGGTGGTAGCACCACAACCAACCAACCACTGTACATACACCATCCTCAGAGCAAGCGAACAGACACCTGAGGCAGACACTCATGAATGGCAACGCTTGAGGCTATCCCTATGTCTTTCGATCGCCTCTATTGTCGCCAGAACGTCACATTCGTCGCAACGAGAGCACGAGAGGCTTCGAGCATAGCGCGAACGGGGATAGCTGGCTTGGATGCCCGGGCCCATATCACGCTCCTGTGTTGATGAGAAAGCTTGGCGCCGGTCTCATACTCATCCTATAAGGTCTACTGGAGAAGCCTCTTTTCTATTCTTGTCGCTCTTGTTGACGTCTGCATCCCTGTCGATACGAAGCCTCGCTACCGCTTCGTGTCGCATCTGTAATGCTCGTCGTGGCATCCATCCATCGTCACTAGCGTTGATGTCTGCTCCCCTGTCGATAAGAAGCCTTGCTATCGCCTCGTGGCCCATTTTCAAGGCCCATCGAAGTGGCATCCAACCCTTCTCGTCGCAAGCGTTGATGTCTGCTCCCCTATCGATAAGAAGCCCCACCACCGTCTCGTGGCCTTGCATTGCAGCACATATAAGTGGTGCCCGTCCATTTTCGCTAGTAGCGTTGACATCTGCCCCTTTATCGATGAGAAACCTCACCATTGCCTTACACCCTGTCTTTGAAGCCCATTGAAGTGGTGTTGTCCCAGCTTTATCGCTAGCATTGAGGTCTGCTCCGCTATCGATAAGTAGCTCCGCTATCGCCTCGTGGCCTTGTGTTGTAGCGTATATAAGTGGTGTCCATCCATTTTCGTTGCTAGCGTTGACATCTACCCCTTTATTGATGAGAAGCCTTGCCACCGCCTCTAGGCCTTTGTGTAAGGCCCGTAAAAGTGGTGTCCACCCAGCTTTATCGCTAGTGTTAACATCTGCTCCTTCGTCGATGAGAAGCCTCACCACTGCCTTATGGCCGTTTTGTATGGCCCGTAAAAGCGGTGTCCACCCAGCTTTATCGCTAGTATTAACATCTGCCCCTTTATCGATGAGTAGCCTCACCACTGCCTCATGGCCTTTTTGTATAGCTCGTAAAAGTGGCGTCCATCCAGTGTAGTTAGGAGCGTTAACATCTGCTCCCTTATCGATAAGACAACTTATAGCTACCTCGTCGCCATCTGCGGAGGCGCTAATGAGTAGTGCTGATATATTCCGCTGGATATCTTTGATGTCTGCTCCCTTGCTGATAAGAAGCCTCACCACTACCTTATGATTATTGCTTAAGGCCCATTGAAGTGGTGTCCATCCATTTTCGTTCCTAGCGTTGACGTTTGCTCCGTTGTCGATGAGAAGCCTTACGGCTGCCTCGTGACCTTCCCTTGAAGCCCATCGAAGTGGTGTCCATCCGTGTTTATCGCTAACGTTAAGGTCTGCACCTTTATCGACGAGAAGCTTCGCTATCGCCTCGTGACCACTTCTTAAGGAATACAGAAGTGGCGTCAATTCATCTTTATCGCTAACGTTGACGTTCGCTCCCATGTCGATAAGAAGCTTCACCACCTCTTCGTGACCGTTCTCTGAGGCCCGTGAAACTGGAGTTCGCCCGCCGCTGTCCACTTCATCGACGGTCGTTCTTGTCTGGAGAAGTAGCTTCACAATACCTACTCGGCCAACCTGGGCCGCCCAAGATAGTGGCGTTCGATCCTTGTAATCTTTAAGATCTCGCTTGTAGGTAAGACCCTCTGTAATATCGACTCCATCATAAATACTCGAAGTTGAGTTCAGAAGAGCAGCAACAGCCCCTTTGTTGTTGTTAGCTAAAGCGGCAAAAATTGAATAATGATATCGCTCCCCAAGGACATGAATTTCCTGGTCTTCCTTAAGCCGCGTGCGGATAAGCTCGGAAAATCCTTTTTCTGCGAGGATATAGAACAGGTTTACACCCGGGCTATACTTTCGAGTGTTGCACCTCTCAAAAAGATTGTGAACGCTAGTCCAGTTCGAAATAGGAAAATAATCTAGGAACTCGTCCTGGGAAAACATTTTCGCGGCAGCATTGGCATGATGAAGGATATGCTGATTGGCATACTCTAGAAATGGGTACTCCTTTGGTAATTTCACCCCGTCTTTGGAGTTTGATAAGAGGTTGCCAATACCTGCGCGCGCAACAGCATGAGTTAGGTATGTCTTGCAGCATTGTTTGAGTTTCTCGTGACTTAGACTCTCGCAGTCAAACCCAAGGTCAGGCCATAACTCATGCAGACCCTTATCTTTGATAAGAAAGTCCCGAACGGATTCATGTATGAATTGAACTGTAGGAGGCTTAGAGTTCGTGGTCTCAGCAAGTCCTTTTGAGGAGCTGATGACAAATCTGTTAACCCTGTCGAGGTTTTGACTGGGAACTTGAATGGTAAAATCCGGAATATCATCATCGACTAATCCCCTTGGAGATAACCCTGCCCAGAGAGCATGACAGAACTCCTGCGGTTTTAAAGGCCGCTTTGCGTACAAAACCCAGAGGATACAAAGCAGGAGAGCTTCCGTATCACCATTATCCCGTCTTAGGATATTTCTGAAAAGATCGCTTAAATCACTTGGTATTTCTGCGAGTTTCTTCTTCAAAGCCATCCCACCCCGCCGAGATTCCATATTAAGAATATCGACTACCAGGACAACCCACATAAAACCACCAGCAGCTCTATTGAGAAGCTGAGCTCGCAATTCTTTGACAAGTACCGGGCCGTCAACTTGGAGGCGACTCTCAATGTATGTTGCTATATCTTCTGTATGGCCAGGCTGATCTTCTAAGGTTAAGCGAATTCCCTGTTGGATGAAGATATAAGGGTAATGTCGACTCGAAAAACATGTCCGGAATTGGATTCTCTGGGCTGTAGTTTTTTTGGCTAGGTCCTCAAAGTATTGGACCATTTCCACAATTTGCTGTTCATCACACTCGTCAAGAGCATCGACGAAGCAGGTAAATGAGCGTTGGCCGAGAGCGGAAACTGCGTTGCAAAAGAGGTCCTTGAGAACATTCAATGGAGGGCAACCATTTTGACTCTGAGAAACAAGCCCACGATCGTTTAAAACTGTCTGAAGGTCAGGGTATCCTTCTAGCAGCTGAAGCAACAATGATCGATACATCCCCAAGATCGACTTTTCTAGGCCTTCACCTTGGGCGTTGAAGAAAAAGGAAGCAGTGATAGCATGTTCATTGTCGTCTTTGAGCTTCAGATTTATGTAGGCAGCCTTCATCATAGTTGACTTGCCAGCACCTGGCTTGCCGCTGATCCACAGAAAGCCATGGTGGTGCGTCAATTTTGCGGGATTAAGCCATGCTTCGTAGTCGATATGGCTAAAGAGCCATTGACAGGTCATGTCGTGCGGATTCCTAATTGTTGATCTTTTAGAGTCAATTTGATTGAATCTAAGGGAATCTAATAAGCGCTGCCGAAATTCGTGCGATAAGAAATGATCTGGGCGTTAGGTATGAGTAGTTGTCCAAATAGTTTGCTATAATGGTAAGCAGACTTACAAGCATCGGCTGTTCTATACGGTTTCGCATTTGTGTCAACCGTAGGGATCTCTCCGATGAGATCTCTTGCATATGCTGCCGCAGTTGCTGCGGCGTACCTCTGCCACTCTTTGCTCTTGTGCGAATCAGAGTAATCACAAATACCCCGAATTGGGAGACAAGGGAGTATATCCATTAGGCCAGCAGCCTCCATCTCAAAACATATTATATCCAATTCCCGAGCAACATTGTCCCGCGTAATTCCGTTTTTTATGACCTGGTTCCCTGAAGCGATTGCGCCATAATGAATCGTTATATCGTTCGATACCCGTCTGTCTCGTGGTACCAGTTTTGTATGGTCGCATTTATCGCAGCTGGACGTTGAGGAGGGTCTATGGTCATATGTTGCGTGGAAGAGAAGATCGGGTGAATCTGGGCGACCGTACTCGGAGTGTCCTTCTAGCTTCTGGTGCAGAATGGATAGAATCCCACTGACTCTCAGTTCGTGTTTCGACCGAAGGGCAGAAACAGCCGTTCCGAGCAACAGCCCAGGAGTCCTTGGTATTGCTGTTCGTTGATACTTCCCGTCTTCCAAGATTTTCCCAAGATCATACTGCATCACCCTTGTGCCGACGACGATATCGCCTAGTCGCACATCAGCCTTGTTTGGCACACCTCCACCGATGCCTACTATCAAACCCGCACGGACTGCTGGAAAAGTTCGCTTCATGTTCGTCAGGACTATTGCTGCGTTGATTGTTCCATACTGCTGTGCTGGTAAGCATGCAATAACAACATTATGTTGCCTCACACGTCCTAGTACATAGGTGTTGCAGTCGTCCGCATGTGTAGATAGGGGTTCATGAAATTCATCTAGCATAATCTGAGCCGCTGCCATTTCTATATATAGCGCGCAGATCCAGGCGATGGTGTACTGATCGTGTCGATGGGTAGGCAATTCGTAATGGTGGGAAATCTTTTGACGCTTAGACAGTTGGCATTCGGTCGTAATTGTGCCATGATCATTGCCTATGTGTAGCCCAGTATTGGCACGATGACAAGATGTTGATGCCATAATTAGAGAAGCAAGTGTTGTGTAGCTCTTGAATGGTGGTGGGGTGGGGGAAGTTCTCTGACTCTCAAGAGACAGGCTGTGTGTGATTCATCAGGTGACTTCTTGGCGCTTAAACACGTAAACAGACCACGAGGGCATTTCTTTGTATTTGAACTGTTCAGTTTTCAGGCTCAGCTACACCTGACAAAGCTCTTAACGAAAGGTCTTGATTTGAATGTTAATAGTTCTATATAATGCAGCTAGATAATCAGAGAATAGCAAGCCGGGGTCCAGAAGTAGGACATCTCTAATGATGAGGAATGTACACCCGATTCCCACAGGCCCCTGGCTCCTAAGTTAGATGGCTCCTCCTGAGCTGACAAATTCAATACACTAAACGTAAAGAGAAAAGAACAGTTCCAGCACAATCCTAGGGTTGGAGCCACCGCTGGTTGGACCATTCGTGATTGATTGTTCCGAGCAAGGCTATTATAGAGGACAGGACGGTTCCAGCTGAGCGGGACTCAGAAAAAGTTGACCGAGACCCAGAAAATTTCTGACTAATTCCCAGTCCCGCTCCCAGTCCCGCTCAGCTCCAGCACCTGATCAGCACAGGAAGGGGTATGGAGGTGTCGGCTGTATTGAATTAATAAGCGAATACATGTCTCAAATTACTGGATAATTTACATACGAATACGAAGCAATACACATGTGCAACTTATAGGGTAATCCGGAAGAACCCCCTATTTAGACTAGTGGGTCTTGGCGTAGGGGCAAGAAAGGCAATCGAAGAGTGTAGGCGGTTGCACCAGTTTCGGGACGTACTGTACCGTGAGGAGTCTATTTCCTTGGGAGTATGCCATCAACTGACAGTCGCAGCTTTCCCCTGGGAACAGCCTACCTCCCAAACTTCGCAGCCACCGCACCATCAAGTACACTTCCTATCTCTTAGTACCGAGCCGAATTAATCTTTGAGGTCTCTAGTCACACATGGTGCAGCGATAAGCGTACCAGCCAAGACGTATCCTGCACAATCAGCAACGCCAAGCTTTCTTCAGGCAGTAACTGCTAATGATCAACAAATTCAATATCGAGGGTATCGTAATATCGTACTCTGCATAATATCAATATAAAAGCTAAAACAACTCTTCGAGCTTAGTTTCGTGACTATAACTTCCTTCTCCCTTTTCAAGAATTTACCCCCTCAACTACCGCAAGCAATTGAGTGAGTTTCCGAAGATAAAGAATCGCATATTCAGTTTTACTGACACTTTCCTAGTTTTCAACTTTTAGCAATCTCGTACGCATTCAGCGTGAGAAATCTGGTATTAATGCCAAAGCAGAATGCCCAATATACGGTGCAATGTTCACTCGCACGACAGCGCGAAACATTCACGTTGAGGGAAGGAGGTATAAAGGGCCAGGCGGCCACGAAGTAGCTGAGTCGATGGCGCGGTGAGATATTGTATTACTATTACTTCATGAGAGCTGTTAAATTCTGTTCTATATTTCTACTAGGCAGTGACTGAAATTTTAGCCGCCTTTACTTACTAAGGGATGTTTTAATCTAATGGGTGATCCAAAAACTCCCGATCATTTATCCAGTGAGCAGAGCCGGGAACTGGGTTAATTTGGTGTTGAGTATTTTGCTTCACCAAAACAGGTTATGTCAACACAGGCTATATTAGATATATAGTCGTTCAAGCGTTGACTCACAAAAAGGTGGATCCGTTCTTATGCCCGGAAAAGTGTTTTAACTTCTATAGCGACCATTTTAAGGGGGTGAATCACTAGACCCAGTCCGCCTTCTAGTCTACCTCCTAGTCTATAACTTATTTATACTATAATCATAGACCCCTCATTTTCTATTCTGCGTTTTCTAATATCCTCTTTTATTAATAATTGACGCCTATCACCAATTACCACACTGCAAGTCAGTCAATATTTCATCAACAGAGCGCACTTATCTACTGCACTTAATGATGCGAATGCCTAATTTAACAACCCTACCATATTGGCAACAGAGAAATAGGTAAATTTTCTGGCTGCTATTGGCGAAATATTGAATCCACTGACCATCTAAGAAAACCTGCCGATAGAGTCCCTAGATCTCACGGCAGCGGTTATTAGGCTCCCCTAAGCGACTGATTTTCATGGCATCATTCTACGTTGAAGAGAGCAATGCCATATCTTTGGACGACGTATATAATCACTTAATCAACGCGATTGCGAAGGTACGGCGAGATACCGGCGCGGTAGTGGAGATTTTGATCGTAGGAGACTTTAACTGATATGATCAACTCTGGGGAGGAGACGACGTGTCGTTGGGAAGACAAGGTGAAGCGGATCCAATCATCGACCTTATAAATAAATTTGCCCTCAGCAGCCTACTCAAACGAGGCATAAAGATATAGCATAGTGCAGGATAGAGTGGGGACTACAAGTCCACTATCGACCTCGTCCTAGCCTCGGAAAACCTGACAGACTCTATGGTTAAGTGTGCTATACTTAGGACGGAGCACAGTTCAGATCACTGCACTATTAAGACCGTATTCGATGCCCCATAGTCGCCCCTAAAGCATCAGGCACGACTCCTGCTTAAAAACGCTCTATGAAAAGAGATCAATGCCACAATTGCGAATATCCCGGCCGCCACTCCATTGGAGGGCACGGTGCAGCAGAAAACCAACCAACTTATATCCGCGGTCTAGGAAGCGGTCCATACCTTAACACCGAAGGCTAAACCGTCACCATAAGTATAGTGATAGTGGATAGATGACTTAACATAGCTCCGTCAAATATATATATACTAGAGAAATCACGCCCGCTCGGAGCGACGGGCGGGGCGAAAGGTACCCTATCTAGAAGAGATGACCCAAGACGCGGCAAAGCAATACCACGATGCTATCCGGCAACAAAAGAAAAAGCACTGGAATGTCTTCTTTGTAGACAATAATAACATATAGAAAGCCGCTAAATACCTAAAGTCGGGAGAGGACGTAGCGTTTGGGAAGATCTCGTAGCTCCTGAGAGCAGACGGAACGACCACCACCGATCACAAGGAGCAAGTAGAAGAACTGCTGACCACATTCTTCCCGTCTCTGCTAGATATTATCGACGATGAGGGGACGAGACTAGAAAGAGCACCAATGGAAATGCCGGCCATCACGATGGAGGAGGTAGAGCGGCAATTATTAGCGGCGAATAGACATTGACATTGCCCATGGGCGGCCCATCATGGGCGGTCCATGGGCACCCATGGGCAGATCCTTTTTTCCCATGGATGGGCAGACTCTAGCTGCCCATGGACAGGCGGCCCATGGGCGGCCCATCATGTCCATGATACAAGGTAGGATAAATTAATGACCTATTATGCAGTAATTTTTGTATTTATCTAGTAATATTTCAGAGTAGAAGTAAGGCTTAATTGAGAGAGAAGTGAGAATTTATTCAATTACTTTCTAATTAATCCTAATCTTATAGTTTTCGAACCCCTTTGGTCGCTTTCTTGCCCGTCCAGACTCACGTATCTAGCTCTGCATTATAGGTAATCTATTATCGTCCTTATCCTCACTACTACCATTAATTTGATCAACCTCATCTTTAGATACAACGCTCTATCGTCGCTTCCCACCCCTTATAGATTGCCTTAGATCTTGCTTATCTTCCTCAGTATCACTAATAGGATTTACCTCTTTGGTCTAAGGGCATATCTCCTCTATTTCCCCTTCTTTAGGGATTTCTAGAGATTGGGCTAATTAAAGCTGCTCCTCTTCTATCTCAAACTTAGTCGTATAGCTATAAAGCATAAGATCCTGGATAGTGGCAGGATTTAGACGACCTCTATAGTAGTGGCAAATATCGCGAGCTGAATTAAATAGGCGTTCAACACTAGTACTAGTAGCTAGGATAGAGAAGATATCGCGGGCTACCTATGCTAGGGTAGGAAATTTATATTAATGGTCTTTCCAGAATTAGGTAGGGGTCGTATTAACTAAGCCTAAATAGAAATAAAGGGTTAGTATAAGATAAAAAGGTAAATTAGATAGAGAATTATAAAACTTACCTCCTTTAAGAAACTATGTTAATTTATCTTAATCCTAGAGGGATCTAGCCGTAGAGGCAAGGACTTTATCAAGCTTAAAGATATATATCTAGACCTAGGTCTTTGATATCGAGTTATTAGATTGATAGCCCTTGATCCGGTCTTGTAGGCTATAATAATACGAAGTCTCCTATCCTCTAGCCCAGTCTTTACTCTTAAAGAACTATAGCTTATATTATAGAGTAAGGATCGTCCTATATATATAGATATCACTAAGTTCCTTAGTATCTGTCTTCGTATAGTACTCACGAAGCTTAGATTCACTAAATTTAAGGGCCTTAAGTATCTACTGCTTCCAACCGACCTATTAAAGAGGTTAGGAAAGGTAAGGTAAAAGTGAGATAGAAATAAAAGGTATTATAAACCTTCTTCCGCTGTAATTGTCGCTTTGAAACCTTAAGATGCTTAAAAAGCTTATTATAGAGACTGAAGACGTTATGAATAGTTACGTCTTTAGTCTTCGAGAGCGTAGTGGTATAGATATAGAACGGCTTTATAAGATAGAGAAGATAATCAATCTATCGCTATTCATCGGAATTTAGTATTATATAGTCGATCTTATATAGACGGCAATACTTATCTAGCTTAGATCGAAGCCTTCTAGCCCATTTAAGTATTAGATAAGTAGAATTCTATCTTGTCTAAACGTCCTAGATTAGGACTAGTTGAGGGTTTCTGATTTCCTTCTAAAGATCCTTGAACTTCTCCTTTCTCTATGGGCTTGCATTAATAAAGATCG